GGACCTCCAGTTAAAGAGAGGCAGTGACAATGCCCAGCTACACAAATGCCTTTCTTACAGAAGTGACTATTTGCTCCTGAGGCAAGGAATGTTCTTATTCACAAAATACATTTGTTTTCTTCTGTGCCAACAGAGGTCAGAAATGAAGTGTACTTTGCTGTTTTCTCTCTCTCAAAAGCATTCTCTTGAGGCAGATCATGTATTTTGAGTCTATTTTGTAAAGGCAGAAGAAAGTGAAGAGCGATTAAAAAAAATGGTCCCAGGGTTTGTAGAAACTAAACTTCTCAGAAGGTGCAATACAGCATTTCAAAATAATTTCTGTATCAACTGCCATTGTGATCACGGATCTGCAAGAAGAAAGGAAAAATAGTAATTTGTCACTCTGTTTACACTGATACATTAGTAATTAAGCAGCTACAATTAGCTTCTCAATTGTCTGTGTTGCATCTTAAATAGTAATTGCACGTTCCCCTTTCAAAATATCAGATGTGTAGCTGAATTGCTCCAAGCTTTTTTATGAAGTGGCCACCTATACAACACAGCTATCTAGCTCTGATAAAGTGACTTAATTTTTGCATATCACTAGAGCAGGGGTCTGCAACCCGCGGCTCCGGAGCCGCATGTGGCTCTTTTACACCTTTGCCGTGGCTCCCGGACGGATACTAGTGAGGGGAGGAGGCGCATTGTGCGCCCCGACACTCCCCACTGTGGCGGGCGCTGTACTGGCTGTGACGTCGCATGGGGGCGGTGCGTGCGTTAGTCACGCACCGTCCCGACGTCACCTTCCCGCCCGCTGTCAGATCGCAGCTCCGGAGATATATTTGTTTTAAATGTCGCAATGGTTTTGCGGCTCCCAGTTTTTTTTCCTCTTCGGAAACGGGTCCAAGTGGCTCTTTTTGTCTTAAAGGTTGCAGACCCCTGCACTAGAGGCTGTTGAAAGGGACACGGGTGGCGCTGTGGGTTAAACCACAGAGCCTAGGACTTGCCGATCAGAAGGTCGGTGGTTCGAATCCCCGCGATGGGGTGAGCTCCTGTTGCTCTGTCCCAGCTCCTGCCAACCTAGCAGTTTGAAAGCACGTCAAATGCAAGCAGATAAATAGGTACTGCTCCAGCAGGAAGGTAAACAGCGTTTCCGTGCGCTGCTCCGGTTCACCAGAAGCGGTTTAGTCATGCTGGCCACATGACCCGGAAGCTGTCTATGGACAAACGCTGGCTCCCTCGGCCTATAGAGCGAGATGAGCCCGCAACTCCAGAGTTGTCTGCAATTGGACCTAATGCTCAGGGGTACCTTTACTTACCTAGAGGCTGTTGAATATAGATTCAAATTCAACAGTTCTATTTTCAATGGCAAACCTTGTGTGCCGTAAATATTTTTACATCACTCTTGATATTAAATACAATATTTCCCCTTTTCCAAGCGGATGTTTGCCATTAAATGTTGTTTACTGTATATTTCCCTATAGGCAACAAGGGTTGTAGCCAAAGAGTTAACAGATTTCTTTACTTTTTTATCAAAACTTTTTGAATGTGTAAAGCTAAAGTGATGGTGATATTTCACCAGTAATTTCAGGAAAACAAACTTAGCTTCGGAAATATGGATTCTTACCTTTGCACTCATATTTAAGATCTGAGAAGAACACCATTTCTTGAGAGAAGACAAATAATCCTAAACGACCACCAGCATAGGTTTTATCATAGATTGGTCCAGAATCAGCCATGATCTTCTTTCCTTCAAACATTACAACTCTGCAGTAAAGAGAAACAGTAATTGACCTCAGCCATGATACAGAATGCTTATTTTGCAACTATAAAATTAGCTATTGCCAAATTGTATTTGTCCTTCTAAAGTTGTTTTAGAAACTTTGCAAAGCTTACCTAATGTAACCAGTCTTTGGTCTGTGACTCAGACGCCATCTGTAGGCAGTGAAATCTTTCCAGCCTATATGATGAGGGTCATGCCACAGAGTCCGCACCTGAAAAGCAAATATGTAGTTAAATTACACATGACATTATGCTGGTACAAGTCTTTGAAATCAACTATGCTTGGAATGTCATTTCAGACATGGATGGTGTAGTTGTACGTGTTGTGATTTCTGTTGTCTGGTCTTTGATAATAATAAAGATTGAATTGACATGGTAAAAGGGGATGAACAGCATGCCCAATGGCCTTGGGCTTCCTATTCTTTCTGTTTCTCTGTGGGCAGGTTGTGCATTTTGTCCTCTGAGGGAGGTGCCTGAAGCTAACGATACAGGAAACACAAACATTGCTCTTCCTGTTCCACCCACTTGCCACATTTGAAATAGCCTTAAGTCAATGTATGATGCTGTTAATTGAATTGTTCGAAGAAAATCCCGTTATATTAACACTAAATGGAATTCTGAGAGCTTATTCATACAGTATATATTTGTGTCAAAATGAGCATTCTCTGTGTGAATCAGCAGTGACAGATGTAAACACCAAGGACTGAATCCAATTAAGTCCTATCACTGAAACAAATGGACATGACTAACTTAAGTTCATTGAGTTTAGTGGGCCTGCTCAGAATGGCTTAGTTGGGTACAACCCTCCTCTACTGAACTGAATGCAGAAAGTTAGTTTACATTAATCCTGTTGTGCACAAGACTTTTGGAAAGAGACTTGTGCGTTCTCATCTTACATTGTTATTTAATATCATTCTTCAAATCTGATTTTTCTTTCTACAATAGTAATAGTCCAAGGATTGTAGAAAGGAAGGTTTTATTTATTCACAGAAACAATCTCTTACCTGTCCAGGAGTATTTCCAGTGTGCCACAGTGCATTACGGAGGTGTTCTCCAGGACCTGTGGTGGAGTTCACTACTTTGATAGCAAGACCGGAATATCCCTGAGCTTTGGTTGGTGTTGGATCCCAGTAAGACTGGGTGATTTGCTTCCACATGACTACATAAAAACGGCTGCTGGACTGATAACCAAACACAAAGCCAGCATAATCATCATCCCTTTCTGTATTAATGAAGAATGTGCCGCTGAAATCAACAGCATTAAATTCATCGTAGCCTGAGTGAAAGGGGGAGAAAAAGGAGAGATTTTTAGTCTTTCTTAAACTGCAAGAATGGTCAGTTCCCCCTATGATTAATTAAGGCCTCAGCATCTTCCAAAGGCTCACTGGTGTGAAGTACTGTATTTATAGATTCTACCATAAGACTTCTTTGCTTTATTGTCCTTTGGCCACAGGTTTTCATGTGACTCTTTGGGATATGGAAAGATTTGCCTTGAAGTCATAGTGGACGTAGCAGATAGGTAGGACCACAACCTATTGCCTTTGCTGTCACAGAGGCAGGCAGGCAGGCAGGCAGGCAGGCTTAGGGCTACACCACTATGGAGGGATGGAGACCTTAGAATCTGAATGTAAGTGAACCACTTGCTAAATTATATTATGCAGGCAAGTATTGTGTGTACTTTCAGCTGAGCCTTTAAGTGAATAGTTATCATCCAGAGACAGATGACATTTTCTACAGTAAACACAGAAAGGAAAACCCCAAATCGCCTGCTCACCAACTGCAAGTCCAGGATCACAGTTGACAGTCTGAACCAGTTCTTTGCCTTGGTGACGAACAACCCAATTAGGATCGTTCTGAGATGTGCCCTTAGGATCCAGGGGAACCATCTGAAATCGGCGGAAATCTGTCTCACTGATGTCAACATTCTCGGGGCAGATGTCGTGAATATCCAGCACCTTGTCTTGGTCAAAGTCATCTTTGCATGCATCTCCACGTCCATCACCTAGCCCAAGAGGAAGAAAGGAAATGGTGGAGGAGTGGGAGAGAAATAAAAAATATGTGAGAGTTTAAAAGGGAAATGTGCATTTCAGATTGGCAGTAGTAAAATATCTAATGTAATTAATCCAAGATTTTAACTGTGCTACTGAAACCACCATTACTTGACATCAATAACTATTATACTAGTTGCACTAACAAATGCCATCCAAAGTGCACATTTGATAATTCCCTTAAACAACTTTTGTCTCTCCACCTATATCCCTTTTAAAATAGTTCCAGGCCCAAATCTCCAAAGGCTCCCCTGTCTGCACAATAAACACCCTCTTACAGCATTTCAGTGAAATGTGTAGATCCGTTCACATGGAGCTGATCCATCTGAACAAGCAGGATATGTTTTCTTGCCATTAAGGATTTTTCCCCCTTAAAAGGATGATTAAACATTACACTGTGTGTTTAATTTAATGCTAGACAATCCCTCCTAGTATAGTTAGAGAAGTTGACAGTGAATAATTTTTCTTACCATCAGAGTCAAGTTGGTCTGGGTTGGCAACCAGTCTGCAATTGTCTTTGTCATCAGGGATGCCATCATTATCATCATCATGATCACAGGCATCGCCTTTCCCATCCTTGTCATGGTCAGCTTGGTTTGCATTGGGCACATAGGGACAGTTATCAAGATTATTTTGATGGCCATCTTCGTCAATGTCCTGGTTGCTATCACATTTGTCACCTATGCGGTCAGAGTCAGAATCCGTCTGAAAGGAAAATGGATGAACATGTTCAAGTAAAGCATTTTTAAAAGGGTACCAACTAGAACTATCTTAAAAAGATTCCTAATAATTTAGACTGTCTTGGCGCATCCAGTGGCTTCTTCCAATGGTCCCTCCAGCTGGTCATGCCAGTTGAGGGAATAGCTCTGCATAGGCAGTCCTTGCATGCATAGAACTTTATTGAAGTGAACTAACAGGTTGGCAGGTGTAGGAGTTCTCTTTGTATGGTGGTATGACAGCTATTGCACACTTGTAATTTGCTAATGTTAATGTCCACAGACAAAAAAAAAAGAAAGAAAACCACCTGTCCCAACTTGTTTTGGGTTATCTTCAGACATCTTATTGCTTAAATGTATTCCTCAAAGCACCAGGGCCTTAGAGAATGGTGTGGTTTCTGCCTTTACTTGGCAGGAATTTCCATTTAATTTCCATGCCAGAATGTGTTAATCTCTTGTTTGTTTACTTTTTCAGATGAGATAAAAGCGCCACTTTCTGCTTTATTGTGCACTTCGTATCTTCTGGGCACAAATGCTGTATAACTGGATGAGTATTTTCTATTTGCCGCACTGCTATGCCTGGGTTAAGGCTACTGTTGTACAGTAATGACCCACTGTTGAGGTAATACCCACCATAATGTTTTTGCCACATACTGATTAAATGCTAGAGCATTCTTTTAGAAGTGTCATGATATAAAAGTACATACAAACTGCAAATAGTACACTAGGCTGTTTACTTTCCGAAATATGGCCCTAAGACCTCTAGATGCAGACTACAATATTAATCAGATTGCCCTAAGTTATCCAGCTTCGTGTTACTGCAGGTTTGGCTGATGATCCATTGAGAAATATAGTCACCCAAAAATCAACTGATCACATTAACTGCTAGCTGAAGAGGGGCATTTTCTGCAACTTAAAATGAGTCGCCTGAGACACTCAGCACTTCAGGAATACTTGCAGTTCATTGTCACTGTAGTCTGCTATACACTACTTTGGAGAGAACCCTTTCATTAAAAAAATAGTCTAGCAGAAGCACAGGGACATTAAAAACAGATTCTTTTATTGTAAGCATCCTTTTAGCCAACACTGCCCACAGGGTAACATGAAAAACAGATCTAGATTCCTCCAATTTTGCCGAGACCACTCAAGCATCCAAGGTATGCCCCTGAAGCTATTAATCCTACTGCCTTGTACATGACATGACTGCACAAGCTTCACCCATTGCTGCATTAGATCTAGCAAATTAAATGGGAGGGGTTGGGCTTCCCTCTTATTTCCAAGCCTTTAAACAGGCAAAGTTTAATTAGGTTATATATATTTATGGTGGGATATGCCTTTCAGCTTTTCTGATAGTGGAGAAAACAACTTTGTGATGTTAGCATTCTATATAGCTTTAACTTTTGTCCTTAGCAAAGCATTTTGTGTGTGTTTGTTTATGTGAATCTAAATTCACTGCCCTCTTGGCCTCAGGACATCTTGTGTCATGGATATACATTCCTTGCAAACACACCCTTCATTGTTCAGCACATGTTCTGCTTTAATGCTAAATATCTGAAACATGAGAGTGTCATGGCTGTAGCGCTGTGCAGGTTCCTTTATCTTAACCAGCCTGTATTTAATAAAATATAACTGTGATGATGCCAGAGATCTTTTTCCCCATTTGGTAGTTATGCTACTAGCTGATGTGGCTCCAGTACAGAATGTATGCTTTCTACAGTGATTCCAAACAATAATGGGTGGTATTCTACTCAGAGTAGAACCTCTGAAATTAATGAACTTAAGCTACTCATGGTTATCCATGTGGCTTTTCTATTAGTAGAATATACTGCATCTAACATGACTTACAGAAATGATTTGTGCACTTGGATGCCTCATGCATTTTTAAAAAAAGAAATCAAGGTTTTCCACACATGTCCCAGTTATAAACAATTTTGTATTCCTCATTAGGCTGCCAACCGGCATATATTGCAGGGGTGTGTGTGATAAATAGCAGATATCAAAGAGTTAATGAAAACTGAATGTCCATGTACATTTATAGGCCAAAGAATTAAGCTGACCTGATCTGGATTGTGTTCCATAGGACAGTTGTCACACTGATCTCCAACACCATCCAAATCTGTATCCTTCTGGTCCACATTATATACATACTGGCAGTTGTCTCTTTCATTAAGAATGCCTAAAAATACAAATAGTTTAGATATTTTAGTGACCTTGGTAACATGTCTAAATAGTACACACATATAGTGGGACCAAATGAAGCTAGTAACTAAAAGGAAATAGCTAAAGGAAACCAAGTTAGAGGTAGATCTGTCTAGTATCATATATTAACACTGTTAGAACTAACACAATAGTTAGCAATCATGTGGCAGCCTGTTTGTTCATGGAAGAGCTACAATCCACGTACGACTAGTGCTGAAACATGCTGATAATACAGGGTTGGGTCCAGACTTGTACAGAGCAACTTTCTACAGCTCTCAATGTACAACATATTTGGTCCATACAGTGAGCAAAATTCCACATCAGCAGTTAAATTTGGGCAACTTGTAGATTACTAAGAAAGTGTGTGGTGATGGGGGGGGGGTAGAAAAAGAAAAACAACAAAACCGTACCATCTCCATCAATATCCACAGCACACGCGTCTCCTTCTCCGTTGTTATCAGTGTCTATCTGATCCGGGTTGTGATTGTATGGGCAATTATCACAGCGATCACCAACGTCATCCCTATCATAGTCATATTGTTGTGGGTTGTAGATGAATGGGCAGTTGTCCTGTAGAAGAAAGAAAATAAAGAAGCCACGTTAAAAAAACAAACATACAAGCATGCATGCACTTTTAGATTTATAAGAAATTTGTTGACTATATTTATTTGAATAAAGGCAGTAAGCAAAGGCATTAATAGGACGACATCCATATGGACAGTGTGACAGAGGGAGCTGAGAGAGAAGCTAAGGCCAGTCCCCTGTGCTCTGGAATTTTCCTGTCTACTTGCTGAAGCAGAATGATGCTATAATCTGAAGTACCAAGTAAATCTCAGGCCTTTTAAAGCATGGGATCCCTACAGCTGTTGAAAATACAAAACTCTGATAATACTTTACTGTGCTTCTCTTTAAATACATTCCAAAACATCAGTGCCTGCAATTTCCTACAGTGACTGCCAAGCTGAAGTTCTGCAAATAGCCCCCAGGTATGGAGCAAAAATGAATATTATCTAAACCACAGACAGAACAGGACTGTTTCTGCGAGACTTACTCTGTCATCTACAATGTTGTCATTGTCATCATCATTATCACAAGCATCACCAATTCCATCCTTATCATAGTCTTCTTGCCCAGAATTGGGAAGGTTGGGACAGTTATCCTGCAGAAAAAGAAACATAATTATTTACTATCCACCTTTAAATACAACACAGCAAAGCGCTCAGATTGTAAGATTATATTTCCTAGATTTTGTTTTGGATGGTGTCAGTCCATAGTACCATTCAAATATACTCAACAGTATGTACTCTAATTTATCCTGAAAACTAAAGATGAAACAGAAATTTCCCCAAGACATTTCAGATTGTCCAAAGTAGGCACTCTAAAAGCTATCTATGAGCCATAATCCGACACAGGTGTTATTTCAACAAATTTATACATAAGCATTTGAATCAGGTACACTAACTAACAGACAGTTTTTTATTTCTTTTAAGGTATGGATATTATTGCTCAAATGTTCATGGTGCGTACATTCAGGGCTCTAAAGTGTGTGTGTGTGTGTGTGTGTGTGTGTGTGTGTGTGTGAGAGAGAGAGAGAGAGAGAGAGAGAGAGAGAGAGAGAGAATACGTAGAAATTGGCTTACTTTACTGCAGTGGTAGGTAGCATTGGCAACGCAGGGCAGGTTTGTATTTGGCCATCCATCTAAGTCTGTGTCTTCTCCACAGATAATGCCATTACCAGCATAGCCTGGCTTACATTCACAGCGATACATAGGGTCACTGAAGTGGCCAAGGTAAGTGCACTTGGCATTCTTATTGCAGTCATGAGTTCCATCCTTACATGGGTCACGTGGTTTACAGACCTAAGAGACCAAATGGACACAAGAAAATTAAGATTACATGCAAGAAATGTGTCTATCATTTTGTTATTTTGAGATAGCAACACATGGAAGTCTTTTAAAAAAAGAGAATACTTCTCCATGGATACAGTAGCCAATTATGGCTTTTGTTTTAAAAGAACAAGGCATCCTATGTGCATTTCTATATAATATGTTAGTTACTAGCTTAGGCTTGGATGTGTTCACATACAGAGAATGTTGTTATTTCAAATCCATCCATCTACAGGTCCCCAGACCACATTCCACACCTTTCCCAAGGTCCATCACCCCCATGAGCAATTTTGCAAGAGTTATGGAGGACTGCAGAGGGAAGAGGTGGAAAAGCTAGGATCCAAGCCTTTAATTATAGCAATATCTGAAGATGGAAGTGTGGAAGAATATTCTTAAAGCTACCATGTCATGATGCTATTGCTTTCAAGATTTTAGAAGCATTCATTCTATGAAGCACATAGTATAGATACGTCGTCCTTGGAACCAGTCTATGCTATGCATAAAAACTGGCATGAACTAGGCTGTACAGGCCAGGCCCCATTTCCTTCATTGTTGTGGCTGCTAGGAAAGTACAGCTATGATCATGGTAATGGTGTTTTCCCCCTGATTCACGTTAGCAATTATCCATGCAGATCTGTGAGCAAAATCCCATGGCGGAATGCAATAGTGTGAATTCACCCTAGAATTCTTTTCAGATGTTAAATATATGCATACTCTCCTTTCAGAGCAACTTGAATTTCTAGAATAATGTATCGAACTTGTTCTTTCCCCCCCCTCCTGGGCATGTCTCATAAATGCAAAAGGGGAGGGGCGAGGTTTTAGGAGCAGGGACCTTTTCATATTTTGGCAGTACCTGCTTGTTTGCTATTGCATTCTCCACACCTCGACCAAAGGGCTGTGGTCCAGAAAAGCGTGGTGGGCAAGGTTTGCAATGGTATCCAGGCTCAGTATTCTCACACCTGTGGACTCCACCAAGGACAAAGCAGGCATCTGGGACCTCTTGACACTGGAGTATGAAAGAAGGGGACAGAGGGAAATTAGCTGTAGGTTTACTTACAATTCAGTCCTACATTTTATATAAATAAGCAATTCCAGTCCTCTTACCTCATCAATATCTTTGCATTTAATTCCATTTCCACGATAGCCAGCAGGACAGGCACCACATTTCCAGGAACCATCAGGAAAACTAGTACATGTAGTTCCCGCGAAGCAAGGGTTAGACAGGCACCCATCTGAGAGAAGATAAAGGTGACATTCCAGAATGTTATTAGCCTCGTGCAGGGCAATGGTGGCGAGCAAGGTAGATAAATTTAACAAATACTCTTTTGTGTTTTTAAAAATCAGCTCAGTTTTAATTTGACTTTCTTTGCACTGCTTTTTCTTACCATTTTCTACTCTAAATTACACAAGAATAAGAACAGCATTGTCCATCATACAGCCAAGATGTGGCTGTATCTCGATATATATTTTTCCAATGGGAAAACTCAGACAAATAGTTACATCCTTCTGAAGATGACAGAGCAGAGCTACCAAACACCATTTTATACTTCAAAATAGGTCATTACTCACCAATTGGGCAATCCTGCTTGTTGCAGATCTGGGTGTCCTTAGCATCACCAATACAATCCTTCCCTCCATACTGGGGCGCAGGATTGTTGCAGAGACGACCGCGCTGCTGAAGGCCCCCTCCGCAGGTGACTGGACAGGTGTCCCATGGTGACCATGGTCCCCAGTTCCCATTTACTAAAGAAAAAAGGATTTTTTTAAAAAACAACTATTAGCATCCAGGGAACAGAGCACAACTGCCCTTGGTGCCTTCAATATGCCTAATCACAAACAAATCTAAATGTTGAAAAATTCAGGCTGTGATGTTCGTTTAAAAAAGGGGGTGGGGAAGTGCCATCTCAGCAGATTTCACATAAGAAATGCCCTGCTGGATCAAGCAATGTAGTTAAGAATCCTGGTCTCACAGTGGCCAGCCAATTGCTGTAGAAGGGTCATGAGTCAGATCTAACTGCAACAGCACTTTCCACACTTGTGATTCCCAGCAACTAGTATTAAGGGGCATACTGCCTGCAACAGTGAAATCAGAACCCAAGCATCATGGCTAATAGTCATTGAAAGCCTTATACTCTGTGAATTAGTCCAAACTCTTCCAAAGACATCCAGGTTGGTGGGTATTACTCTATCTTATGGGATCCAATGCCATACCTTAGCTATACACTATTCACCTATATAACAAGCAATGGAATATTGGAAACATTAATCATTGCACAGAACACTCATCTTTTAAGACTAAACTTACTTGGGCAAGGGTCTTTCTGGCATGGTTTGTTTTCTCTTGCCTCTCCCTCACACTCTCTGCCATTCATCTGAGGTAGTGGAGAGTTGCACAGCCGGATTCTAGTGATCACTCCAGTTCCACAAGTAACAGAGCAGGAAGACCAAGGGGACCAGTGGCTCCAGGCACCATCCTGTTTGACTATAAACAGACACAGCTGTTACCAACTATGAGGATTAAAGCTCTTTTAAGCGATTTGTCGCTTTCTTCTGGCACTAGCGGCAATATAGAATCGCTGAATTCAATTCAAGTAAGAAACCAACATATTGCAATAATAGAAAGATGGCAATTGTACATACTTGGTACTGAGAGTCATTACACTTGATGCTGTGCATGTTAAGATAAGCAATAATTTACACAGTAATTGAACAATGATTTACACAGTAATTAATTACTGTAGTCAATTATCTTATCAGCTCCTTTTGTCAGCAATGAAAGCTTTAGATTGGCAATTTGCAAGCAACTTAATAGTGCTAGCATGAAGTATTAATCAGAATTTCTCAACATATTGCAAGCTCAGGACAAGAACAGGTTGCATTGTTTTCAAAGTAAAGAAATGAAATGCTTACATCTCTTATCACATTCCTGCATATTGCAAATTCGTGTTTGTACAGAAGAGCCTTCGCAGCGATGGTTGA